GAACTTTTGCTTAAGTTAAATAAAAGTCAGAACATTTTGTAGAATAAGACAAATGCTTGTAGTTGAAAGACAGAGATTTTCCTCTGAGATATGTACAAAACTATATTTTCTTCATTTTGTGCACGAACATTGCACGTGAAGAATGTAAATATCTCGTGAGTCGTGACAATGTGTCAACTGTTATTTCGCAAAATATATTTCTTTATTTAATGTTCGCTATATTTTTATATAAAAAGAAAAAATCTATAAAACATTGAAAAATGTTAAAAGTTTATTCGAGATCAAGAGGTGAAATACGTCCTTCGATTACGAAGAGTACGACGAAAGCAGCGGAATGACATACAAGTGAAAACAAATATTGTTACTTGCAGGCGACGCGATAAAAATAAACTTTTTTTTTCTTCCATATAGTCGAAGACATTTTTCTAAAGTAAATATCTTTGTATGTGTCACACTTGTATAAGACACAATGATGATCGAGTATAGCTTTACGTGTAAACTCGTATATAAGAAGACAGGTCGTTCAATTTATACGGTTCGTCATCCGCGGCATAATCGACCTAAGGCACCTAATCGAGACTTACTTCGCGTAAGTAATGTTATTAAGCAAAGCTCTTCACAGATTTAAAAACGGTACGAGGGGAGGAAACCGCATTAAACTCGACAGAATGAACATAGAACGCGACGAGGGAAGACATCAAGCAGTTGATAACGCCAATACCGATATGAGAGATACCTCGTCTTTTTTTATTGGCCATTAAACACGAAATACAAACTTGAATTACTTTCAGCGAGTGGCACATTTTATTGCGTGCGTTGCGATGAATTTTTATCTCTCTCTTTTTTTTTAATTTGTTTGTCACTTTTCCGCGAGAGCAGCGTCTTGCCAACTCGTGTGCCACAGCTCGTACTGTCTGTAATTGCGTAATTATTGTTCTTTTTTTACGACCGACGGTTCGCGAGTCGTTTCTCTATTTTGTCACATCTCGTTTATTCAAACGTCGTGTCGCTTTCACGCTAAATTGCATCGCAACGACGTTTACATGCGACGGCGTATGTCTAATGCAATTGTCATGTTGCTGGATTGACCTCAATATCGCGTAGAGATGGCTGGAAGGATTCGAATCCATCTGAGCGCAAACGCTTCGCGGGAGACATGTGTGATCCTAGTTGAAAAGCGGATGGATCGAAAGTAGATGGTAATCCATGATAACAAGCAGTATAAAAACCGACGTCAATGGAAAGGATACGATTGCAGACCTATGACATTTGTTTCCACCAAAAATAGCAATAAATTGAGAAATTATTCGCGTTTTTTGCAACCACACACACACACACACACACAGGATTGTATGTTTCGGAATTTTAATTTCATTTTTGACATAATTCTTAATTTGTTGAAATACAAATTTAGCAAACTCGCTTTATACAATTTAGATTTTAAAATATGTCTTACAATCTTTTTTGTAATTATTGCGAATATATGTGTTTTTCATTTCCGTCAGAGAGAAACAGCGCGCCAAAAAAAAATACAAACACGTTTCTCGAATTAATTCCTCTTAAATAAATGTCTCCCGTTTCTTTCACAAATATTAAGTTTTATTATTGCGCTGTTTACGAGCGACTTTACAACTCTTTTCAGCGAGCGATATTACGTACGAGCGAATATACAAATGCGTTTCTTTTGTTTGTTTTGTAAGTAAATTTCCGTCCGCCCTTTGATTTCCGAGCGAACGTTTTCGAGAGCGAATCTATATATATTTTATGTAGTTAAAACTTGCACGCAGTATATAAACATTTCGCTCCCGTAGTGACTTCCCGAAATATTTTTCTATTGGAATTTAGCCGTAAAAGCGAAACCACACGGAAACAGTGCGGTGGTAGATGGAGAGGACTAGCGATAAAGCGATATTCGCCACAAAGCGAGGCTTCCTCGCAACAAAGATGTTCTCTCTCTCTCTCTCTCTCTCTCTCTCTCTCTCTCTCTCTCTCTCTCTCTTGTAAATACCAATTCACGCAATATTCTGTGAAAGTCTGCGTGTTTCCTGAATATAAACATAGTTTTCTATCACGCGAAATTAACTTTACGATAATCGATTCCGGAGAATTTCCGAACGCGAATGTAATTGAATTCGGTTTGTTCTACTCGCTCGTCATAGTATCGATAATCTTGCTGATAACATTAATTTCAATTACTTACGTGCGGCTCGGAATAAAAGTAGCACAAGAGTGCCGGAGGTGCACTTACCTGAAACAAAGAAAACATAGATGTGAACACGTAATGAGAAAAATGCAATATAACAACGGCAGTAGTGTAGAAAGTTTTTTACTTGAACTCTCAAATTAAAAAAAGACCTTTAATTCACACTCAAGTTTGTGAACTCATTGTAATTAAATAGCATCCCAATTTCAAATATATAAATACTTTTTCGAATTACATTAATGCAAGCCACTTTCATTTTAATCCCGTGATTGCTAATACGCAGCTGCGGCTTTGACTAGCCGCGCAGAACTAGATTAATAGAAATTAGCATAACGGTTCGACCGTGAAGATGAGAAGAGAGAGCAAGAGAGAGTAAGCTCAGAGAGAAAGAGAGAGAGCAAGAGAGAGAGAAGCTGGCACGAAATATCCATCGTTCACGAAAAATCTCATTTTAATTTAACGACGAGGGAAAGAAGAAAGCACACTCGCAAGCTTCCCGTTGTTGCTCTCCCTAGAAGCGCGACGTAATGATCCCTTTGCGGTTAAAAAAAAAAAAAAAAAGAAATAAAACATCCTATCTTCTCTCTCGATCCGAGAATATTTTTAGAAAACTCATCAACTGACACACTTAAAAGCTAAAAAACTTCCACCAAAAAACAAACGGGAAAATTCCCCCGTGAAGGGTAAAGAAATGAGCATTGGGGTGAAATAAAACCCCCGACAAAGTCCGGCTTATGCATGATGTAAGATCTCGAAATTACTCCAGTTTTGTCATTTTCGCCGGAGCCGATCTATTCTCCCGAGAGAGAAATCCTAACCGCATATAAGACAATGTAAACCTATTTGTTTTAACTTTGTCGTTAAAAGCAAATATAAGCGAAAATGACCACACATTCGTTTTAATGCGCGCCACACCGATAAAGTTGTGAATTTTGCCCACTATCGTGTTGCCCAAACGAGAGACATTTATTTTGGCTCGCTATTGTAACAAATTTGAATGTAATGACCAAAAGATTTGCGCGGTAGTTAAGCGATTTACGACGTCGGGCGCAAAGTTTATTTGCGTAACAGTCATGAATATATAACAGATTGTCTGCGCAAAGTTCTCCGGAAATTGCTTTCTGAGAACCTGTATGGATGTATCTCTCTCTCTCTCTCTCTCTCTCTCTCTTTCTCTCTATTTTCTTATCACGGCTTATCTTAATATTAAAATCTAATGTATGTCTACGCATTTAATATGTATGTAAATTAGTGTTGAATTTGCAGGTTCTGTCTTTTGCTTTATTTCTGTCTTTTACAATATGCAATACAATTGCAAAGTATTAAAAAAACATCATGAAACCGGTCGTGTATTTAACTTAAGAAATTTGCATAGATTTCGTTGAAACTACAGTGAAAAAAACTGAATACTTCATGTTTCAAACATAAAGTTGAAATTTTTTCATTTTTCCATTTAGTTAAAATAGAATTTCTCTTCGATGTCGATGTATTTTTAAAAAAACATCAGAAATTGTTATTTTATTGTACGCGATTTAATAGGAAACTTGTGTGCCGCACACGAACTTCTTGAATGAACGTTTTTCTCATTTTTGCGATAAAATGTTTCACGTAACTAAAATCAATATGTTTCAATTTAAAAAATAGATATTATTGGTTTTTACTAGTTAATACCTTGTTATTCTATAACTGCGGCGAATCGTTTCGATAGCTTTTTTTGAGAAAAATAGATATTACATGTACAGATGTGCAATAATTCGTCAATTTCTGCAAAATTTTATACCAGGATTGCTCACAGCATTTACGCTAAATTTTCATATATATATATATATATATATAAATATATTGCACGTCACAAAGTGCAGCCGCAGTTTTATTTCTCGACATATCGTAGCAATCAATATTGGTTTTCGATGAAATAACGATGCAGACACGTTGTCGACATCGACACCGATGATCGATCATTGAAAGCTTATTCGTTGCACGCTCGTTTACGATGCATTCACGAGACAAAGCTTGACGATGAAAAAAGACAGTAATGGTATTATTAACCCACCATTACTCTTTTAACATTTTTATTTAAAAAAATAAAAATAGTCGGTTCCTTATGTTGTCTATTTTATCTGTATCAAAACTTAATATTACTAAGATCACGCGATCTCTTTATTGCATCAAACAAAAACTCAATTGTTTTAAAGAAATTAAATCAGGCAATATTAAATCGTGGAGTAAAAATATTAAAAAATAAAAATATTAAAAACAATGTTTGCCTTTTGTCATATAATTTTTATATGAAATTTGTAAATTATTTTTACAATAATTGGGAAAATTTCGCAAAATTACAACATTAGTAAAAACGTAACAAAAACATACAATATGTATAAATTGAAAATTAAGCTTAATTGCGAATAAATAAAAGCTTTGTTGAGTAAAATCATTGTTAAAAAAATAATAAAACATATCATATTTGCAAGCATTCGTTTCGATGACGTAAACCTTGATAATTGCCGCGTCGAGAAATTGAGTGTGCAAGATAATTTCAGGTTTCAAGATGAGTGATTTCATTTTCTCGGATCCTAAAGAGAATTAATCTCTTGTCTGTGTGACAAAAAATGTAATAAAGAATAGGTGTGTTCAGATGCAAAAACGTAGATAAAACATTCATGTTGCTCAAATTAAAAAAAAAAGAATCCTATTTGTGTTATTAATCTACAAGAGTTGCAATTTTTTTTTAGATTGAGGCCGTAATTATACAAAAATTAGACCCGCAAGATTGGAGCAAATAGGTTTCCCAACCAACCTTTCTTCCAGCTTGAAGGACGACCTGGACAGATCGCTCCATGCGCTCATACTCCGACTGCGCCTCCTGCAGGTCGGCTGCGGCGCCAGCAGTTTGCTGCTGCTCCGTCTCCTAGTGGACGCCAGATTATCGGCCTGAAAGTACACTCTGGGCGCCTTTTGCTGGGAAGTGGGCGGCGTGGAGGTCGGCGTGACCGCCGTCGAGGTGTGGAGTTCCGGCAGTGCCTCGTAGTCCCATGCTCTGGCGCCCATGTCGAGCAGGGGCACCGACGAGGCAGTGCTGGATCCGCGAAGGGGATCCCGAGGCTTGCGGTGATGAAACAGGGCGAGGAACTTGTGACACACCGACTTGTTTTCAGTCTCGCCTTTTTTCTTCTTCCTCTTCTTCTTCGTCGTAGCCGGCAGCTTCACTTTGAGGCGCTCGTGAAACACGCGAGATCTGCCGGCGGCGTCCGGCCACATCGTCGTCCCGTCGACCACATATCACCGTGAAGATTGGAAAGATCTCTCTTAGGAATAGTTGCGAGTGATTGAGCAAACGCGACGAGCGAGTCTCGAGAAACGACGAGAAGGAAACGACGTCGACGAGTCTTCGATGAGCATTTTGAATTATTCGTGCAATTACGAGATCGGTTCGTGTGACAAAGGATTTAGAATTATTTTGACTTGTCCCGGCTTGTCACTTTGTCGTGATTTGCGGTATAGCGTCGTGTTATTTTTTTTTTCCTATGTATTTTTAAAATCTCGCATTTTTTCTTCTCGCAAACAATTCGTTAATTTTGCACGAGTAAAATTTCGCGTAAATGCGCATTTCGTCAGCTCATTTTCAATTATTCGAGTCGCTCTCAGAGAAGCCGTTAATGTCGTAATATCTTCACGTTTCCTGAATTCGAAATGCGTACAGCGTGCAATAAATTAACAAAGTTCTCTCGCTCTTCGAGTTGTCTGTGTTTTTTAATTCCTCAGGAATTTCCTGTCGCTTGTTGCGCGTATCAAGGAGACAAGGCTACAAACGCGACTAATCGCTTGAAGACGTTTTCTTCGCTGATTGCAATCTAACGGAAAGTTTTGTCCTCTGTTAAAGGAGGCGAGTCGCTTAGCTGCGAGTAATAAAGCAAAAATAATTCAACAAAGGAAGAGCGACGGAAATAAATATCCGTATATCTCTCGTACTTCGCGAGAAGAGCTCTCAAACGAATCCGCTTTTGTCTATTGTTTTTATTTGTCAAATAGCTTTGCGTCAGAAGAAATTTGTGACAAAGTTTTTGCGAAAAATTTGATTGAGCTCTTTCGTTTCCTTCTCTCGAGAATGCGATGGAAGACAATGTCGCTTACAAATGCGATATTTTGCATTTTTTTTTTTTTTTTGCATCATTAACATTTCAAATCGCAACAACCGATGTTAGTTCAACAGATGATGTTTCCAACACCATTAACAATAATTCGTAAAAATTCCTGAAAACTTTTGTAACATTAAGTATATTCGCTTCGTTCAATCGATTTTCAACAAGTCACGTGATCACATTGTTTATTAAAAGCAACTTCTCTCAAAATTCGAAGTTTCAACAAGTTTTTTGTATTTACGTAACTTCTGTGTTATATTTTTACATTGTTACTACGTTTCTTACTATTTTTTCTTTTCTTGGATTCAAACTACGAAAATAACGTGTTTGTGTCGGCCACTTTTGATCATTCAAAAAAGCATCGAAAACATTTCTTTTTTGTCAGACGATAACTTCAGACGACAGTCGAGCGCGCACAGAAAGTGTCACACGTTTTATTTTTGCACGACTGTTACAAGAATTCCGATAGCAAAAAGAGAAGCTTAACTTTGCCACGCAAACTGCATCAAGTGACGCTCGTATCAAGTGCCATGTTTGTGGTTAGATAATAATAACAACAGTGACCGACCGCAAATACAAACGACGCAATCATTAACAACGCACCACGCGCGCAACTGCGCGAAAGAAAATCGTGCTCTCTCTCTCCGCGATTCTTTTTCCCTCGCGGAATCGTTTTGTATCGATTCGCACCTCGCTGGCGGAATGTCACTCGATGATATCTTGGAGCAAACTTAACATACGAGCACTTTGCGGTTGTACGTTGAAAGTTTTGACTCAACAATTTAGCAACTTTTAAAGTTGAGACGTTTTTCGACGCGTTTATCTTATAATTAATGTAAACCAACGTTTTTTTTTTTTTTTTTTTTTTTTTTTTTTTTTTTTTTTTTTTATCTTTTCTCAACCCTTATTCATTTTTTTGACTTTACATATTTTTTCATACAACTACTTTTGCAAATGTTGAATTTTGAGGTAACAATATTTGATCTTGTACAGAGCACCGGAGCGCAACGNCACTCGATGATATCTTGGAGCAAACTTAACATACGAGCACTTTGCGGTTGTACGTTGAAAGTTTTGACTCAACAATTTAGCAACTTTTAAAGTTGTTTCAACGCGCATAAAACTTCTCTCGTAATTAAATGACGACACACGCGCGCTCCGTTTTTTTTTTTTTTTTTTTTTTTTTTTTTTTTTATCTTTTCTCAACCCTTATTCACTTATTTGACTTTACATATTTTTTCATACAACTACTTTTGCAAATGTTGAATTTTGAGGTAACAATATTTGATCTTGTACAGAGCACCGGAGCGCAACGAAACGAGATAATATACATCGTTCGTATTATCTTTTCAGATAAATGCTCTATTTCACGTGAACTAGATACGACGTTCGACGAAAAAGTCCTCGAATCCCTCCCGGAGCTAAAGAAGTACAGCGTTACGTCTGATGATGCACATTTGATTGATCGCGATATTGTCGTTTGCACAACACGTTTCCGTGTGACCTGGATGACGTCACGTAATGACCGAAGGTCACGGTCGACGGATTTCTATAATGACGAGAGAACGCGCTACTGTGTCTGTAAAAGTGTTGTACGAGAAACGTACGCGATGTTGCATCAGCCAATTGAACAATTTCATACAACGTCGTATCGTTTGTAGAAAAAAAAAATGTTGTTTGGTTGTTAATTTAAACAACCGAAAAAAAAAATTGTTCAGAATCTGCTTCAAATGTTTGTCTGTTCTCTCTCTCTCTCTCTCTTTCTAATCTAGTCGCTAAAAATGTTCACTCGAGATCGCGGTCGCACAGATCGACCGGGAACATCCACTCGCTCGTTTCTTAAACTTCGGCTCGCGAAGATGCAACAAAACAACAACGTCGCGCAAGCACTTTGAAATCCCCGAGTGAAGAACAAAATCCCCGGATCGCGTAGAGAGGCGTGAGGATTTGATTCTGTATGTCTCCGCGCTAATCCCGTTTATAAAATATGTTAAACTCAGCTGTTCTTCGAGGATTCACGGTGACAAACTTAAAACCACCGCTTTTTTCACGCACTTGTGCGAATAAGTTTTTTCTTTGCACCATTTTTCTCTCACATTTTAAATTCGTGTATTACTCAAACCAGTCCAGTTTCTTAAATCTTTCTTCGCGGAGCAACTGACGAAGATGTGTGTATGTGTGTGTGTATGTGTGTGTGTGTGAAAAAATCTTTATCAAAGACGTGTTCATCAAGAGAATGTCAAGAAAACCTCTCGAGCACCTTCGTTTACAAAGTACAAGCAACACATACACACACACACTTGACACAGGTGGCAGCGTCTCACGAGGATAATGTCGTGTCGTCGCTTCGAGAAGGAAACAGATCGTTATCCACTTCGTCGTCTTCCGAATCGCTACACTCCGGAACAGGTGTCTGCATTGTCGGGATAGTCAGTCACGCGTGTCACCCAAGAACGCGACGAAGTCAAGTGATGCGACAACACTTTGTTCCTCGAAAGACGAACCTTTCGAAGGAAAACCGCAGCCCACGCAGGGAGATTACGCTCGGTCGTGATTCTCGCGCGCGCAACCCTCGCGGATTGTCTTGTCTCTCTAACCCGCCGGCCAGCAGAAAAGCTCGTGAATCTATCGGGTGTCGCGGCGAAGCGAAACGGCGAAGTGCCGCATCGTCCTTGACATTCGACGAACGCGCGTCGCGACGGACTCACAATAAGAAACACGATTCACGATCACACCCTGATAACTGGCCCGGACTGAGTTCGTGGAGTAATCGCGCGTGAATACGACGACGACTATCGCTCTCTCGCAGACACATGCACACACACGCGCGCGCACATACACACACTCTGACTGAAGTGGAAACACAGAAACAGATATATCGCAATCCCGAACATCCCCTAACGATCTATCTGATAAAAAGAGTAGAACGGAAAGGGAGCAAACGATATGGGCTGGATTATCGATGGGGTAACTTTTTCGCTGCGAGAGAGGAGGCTAGCTCGTAGCTCACTATCCCGTACTGCGGTACACGCTAGCGGTTTTCTCTCGCGCGCCACCCCCTCACTGCCGACCTTCCAACCCCCGTATTCCACCCTCCGCTCTCAAGCGAGCCAGCACCATCAAACGCGCTCTCTCATGCACCCTCTCTTTATCTGTCTTTCTCTCTCTCTCGCGCGCGCAGAATGTATTATCGTTGTACATCTCGCTCGCTCTCGTCGATGTTGTCCTCCTACTCCTCTCTTCGCCGTCCGTCCGTCCGTCGTTCTTACCGTCGTCGTCGTCGTCGTCGTCGTGAAAGGGCGCGCATACACGCACGTGGCGCCGCCGTTGTCAAGGCGACTGCGCCACTTCGGGATACGTCGGGAATCTACCTCTCATCATCTCGTTCCTGTACTGCTCTTCGTCGTGTACGAGTTTCTCGCAGATTGCTCCTCCGGGTGACGAATGCTCGCTAGGATAAATGGCGATGACACGTGCGATTTATTTGCCCAACGGCGATCGTGCTCGCTCCTTGCTTCTTCATCGTAAAATCGACCTCTTTAAGAAGACAAATGCTCTCGACTATTTCCAACGAGCTGTTTGCAAGTATCCTTATCGAGAGAAAGAGAGAAAAGAAACACGAGCTTTTGTCTATTCGTCATCTCGTTTTTCGAGATTCGCAACGCAAAAATTGTAAGAAATTGCATTCTATTTTTCGTAGTAAAAAAGCCTCGTGTTAGCTTTACGCTCGGATAAAAAAAAGTTTTTATCAACCTACGCTCTTTCTCGTAAAACGTATAGCTGTCTCAATCACAGTTTGTTAATTAAATCATTTGTCCGGACTAATTTTTCAATTGAGCACCTCTGCTCGAATTGCCGGAATAACCTGTGCTCCGTTAAGGATACGTTTGCGCAGTTTTGGGGCGTTGTTGTGCTATTTTGAAGCAACGGATAGAATGAATGGGATGACGGCAGCTTTCAGAGAGACAGCATCGATTCGCAGCCAAGCCAAACTTGCGTGACGAGCTTGCGCTGTAACACGAGCGGAGGGTTTGAATTCTGTATGAGCCACGTGGTTCAAGTATTTGCGCGCCCACCCTTTCTCGCGGAGCTTGCGTATTATGAAAAAAGTGTGACGTTACTAATGGGAACTTTTCATGCTCTTTTGTAATCTCGTAATCGCCATTTTAATGAAGTTTCGTATATTTATAGTATAACGACTTGTTACGTGCAAAAGTTTGAAACGTAAAAACCGTACACAACTGTACGACACGCGAAATAACATGGTACCTTATAATTTCTCGTGTTGCAAATGCAATTTAATGAGAGGGAATGATAGATGCGAAAATTTTGTTATTTACAAATTATGAAATAATTTTTTCAGTTTGTTTTTATGTTTGAGAGCTACGATACTTAACTTGTTTAAAATAAATGAAGGAGAAAATTGAATGAACGTGGAAAAATCCTCTTCTCAAATTTTCTTCTCTCTCTTTATTCTCTTCCTCTACAAATTTTTTAGAAAAAAAATTTGAAATTTGTTTCCAATCAAGAAAAATACTCATTTGCACGTGTAACACGCCACTCTTGTTTTAAAATGTTTCTCTAAATTGAAGCAGAATTAATTGTAGATTTAAAAAACCGCTCCGCTGTGCGCACTTATCGAAATTATCAAAAAGATTCAATTCCCGAAGAGCAGAGATGAATGCAAATAACGTAATTGGTAATCGATCGATCGACGGTTTTACCGAAAGCGCCCGCTTTTGCGTACTGTACAACACACTCAGCTCTATATACGTAATAGCGCGAAAACCACCACGTGAATAACGAACAAATGAGATGCGCGCTCGGTATATCGCATTTCACAGAAAATATATCGTTCCTTTGCCGCACATCTATTACTTTCCCCCGACTTGAATGGATTACTCTACTTGCGCAAATAGAAGAGAATTTTATGTCCGTTTGCATCAGGAGAGATGTACGTCCGAGATATCAAAGAAATATAAAGTTGTAATAGTGATCGAGTGCAACTAGTTTAGCCGCGACAGCTATTACTTTATGTATGATGGTTATTTGCATACTATATGTACGTAAAGCGTTTTGCATACTATATGTACGTAAAGCGTTTTAAGTAGATTGTGCGCGAAATTGCAGTCTCTCCCTCTTGTGATTTTGCGGGCTCTTATTGCTAATTTTACGTCGCGCCAAGTGATGCTATTCAGAATTTAATTATATCAAGCGAACCATACAGCGAGATTCAATGCATGATTAATTCGGTTTCTAAGCGGTAAGTTGCTTTCCAAGTGAGAGAGAGAGACGTGCGCCGAAGCACGAACCCGAATTTCATTAATACATTTTGACGATCCACGTGCGACGTAACGAGAGCAATTTGAGAATATCAACAAAACATCATCTCTTGACGTCAAAGTTTGTAACTTAATTTATAGTTTGTAACTAGCAAAATACATGTAAAGATTTATTTGCGTAAATATAAAGTGAAAACTGGCAAAGAGATTTGAACACAATTAAATGTTGATTTTTTTTTATAAATAAAAAAAAATTGGTATTGATTTTTAATCCTATTTTTATAATATGCAGAGAGAGAGAGAGAGAGAGAGAGAGAGAGAGAGAGAGAGATCGTATACACAGAGCTAATCTAGTACAATATGTGATATTAAAAATCATTATTTTTTGTTACAAATTATCTGCGATAAGTGAATGAGAGATCAAGGTGTATCTTCAAAATATCTACAGATAAAAAAAGTAAGTATAATACGACCTATTTTTTTTTTACAGAACTCACTTAGAGCTCTTCGAAACT